AAATCGCTTCAGCGGTTCATAGCAAGTTTCAGTCAATAAATGCCTCCGATAAAATAATTATTTATTCTGGTTACAAATGTATTTTAGTAACAGTCTATAACCTAATGGTTATTGAAAAACCAGCAAAAGGTTGAAAGCGTACTAATTAAGGCAAACCAATAGATAGACAGACGAATGACTTTCGCATTTTTTATATATAAATAATGGGTAGCAGAGACGTAGCTAGTCCCAGTAGCACTTGTGTGCAATCATATATGTAGCCCCCTCTAATAAGTGTGCGGTCAAAAAATGGTGACGAGTGACGCTAGGCGCCATCTTGCACCAAAAGTAAAGCCGATTCATCAATTGTTTTAAGTTAACCAAAAGATATCCAAAATTTCTTATTATTAACCTATCTCACTCAAAAACGTGTTTGGCACCGGTCTTCTGTAAGAATGAAAGAAAGAAAGAAAGAAAGAAAAACATTATATTAGCCTTCACAGCAACACTTAGAAATACATTTTTTTTATTTAATATTGAAACATAGTTATAAGAATGGAAGATAAAAAATAAGAATAAACAAAAACATCGTGCCGTGGAAGGCCAATATGAAATGAAATGAAATGAAATGAAATGAAAAGTCATTTATTCAGTCTAGGCTGTTACAAGCACTTGTGAAGGTCAAGAAGCTACGCCATCGGTTCGCAAAACTACGGCGGGAGACCTTGTACTGAGAAGAACCGGCAAGAAACTCAGCAAGGGCTGCTTTTTTCTCCCTGTATTGATATATACAGAGTCGTCAAGTTGAAAAATGATTTCAGAGATACATCTGAAGTCACCTTCCATTACATTATTAAGGATATAGATATATAGTTACAATAAATTTTATATTTAGTATATAGGAAGCGGCATTAGATAGGTACCATATTACTGTTTCAAAAACTGACTCATACCCATCAAATAACAAATTACAAGAAACACTATGTCCATGCATTTCGATCATTTAGATAATCATTAACTTTATAATAGCCCTTATTCATAAGAGTATTCTTAATCTGAGATTTAAATTTGGTTAGTGGAAGCTCAATCAGATCTTGGGGAACTTTGTTAAACAATGCAATACTACATCCCAGAAATGAACCTCTTGATTTTTGGAGTCTGAAAGGGCGCTGAATAGGGCGCTGCCTCAGCTATGCTGTGTGGTGACCGCTTTCGCGATACCACAGCAGCGCTGATTTTCAGCCAGCGCCTTATGGTAAAGGCGACTAGCGAATGCCGGAACAAGCGAAACAATAACAAAGAACACAATTGACATATAACGGAATACTATTTTAATTAATGACTAACATATATATTACTTAAATTACAATCGAGACATTAAACTATAATGCCGGCCCTCCACACAGCCATCCGTTCCCGCTACCCGTGAACGTAGCAACAGTCCCTCCCTATTTTCCCCATACGGCCGATAAGAGTAATGAGGTTAATTCCCCAAACAGCGGCTCCATTTCGAGCGGAAACCCCGTTTTGACCTACCTCTCTCTAAAATGTGCAGTTGGTAAGTAAGTAGACTACCACAACGTGATATTAATTTTGCAACTCCACAACAATAACTGATGGTGACAGACAGCCGAGCGGCGAATATTAACTTGTGACAAAGTTGTAACGAGTTAATTCGACAAGGGACGGTAAATCTGATAATGTAGAACTAAGCTCTTAAGATGTTTTCGTCAATTATGGACCACTCTGGCACTCAGCCGCTTTTAAACTCAATGACAGGTTTTCATAATGGAGTTACGCAGGATTTTGAGACGCCATCTAGCGCCATCTTGTTGGTGATGTCGACGATTAGGCGGGAAAGTCGCGTTGTTCTCGTTGCCATACACAATTTATTACCATAATCTTTGTTAACTTCATGCGAAGTTTGAGTACCTACAGAGCTCAATACCTACGCACTCCTCCTTATTAATAAACGAAGACTAGTATTGGATTAGTTACTCTATGTTTTGTCCTTATTTATTGAATGACAAATAAGTGAAAAAGAGAATATTAAATGGCATTAGAGTGACATGAACGAAACACAGCGTAACTATTTTAAAGTTATTTCTTGTTTATTAATAATAGTGCCTGAGTGCAACTATTTACCTTGACGTTTCAATTTTGACATCTATATATATAAAACTCAAAGGTGACTGACTGACTGACAACCTCCGTGGTCTAGTGGTTTGTACGCTGGGTTTCATGGTGTCGCCGACTCGAGAGGTCCCGGGTTTGAATCCCGGTGGGGGCAGATGTTTTGTGTGATGAATACGAGCATTTGTACTCCAGTCATGGATGTTTAATACGTATTTCTATATAAATATACTTATATATGTACTGTATATGTAGTCTATCCGTTACCCTAGTATCCCATAACACAAGCCTTACAGTGCTTACTTTGGGGCTAGGCTAATTGGTGTGAGTGTTGGAAATATTTATTATTATTATTAATTAAATAAAACAATATTTGTTTCTTAGGTTTTCACGCACATCACTCATTACATAAAACTAGTTTTACGGGATAATGCACGAAACTTTGGAAAAAAAAATCTTTCGAAGGTACCTCGACAAATTAAATAAAAGTTTGATTCTGACGACGTAGCCTGTAAAGGCTACGAAACGTCAATAAATAAATAAAGTTTCGTGCATTAACCCGTAAAAACTAGTTTTATTTAAGTAAAACAATACAAGTCATTTTATACGTTTTTATTCATTACTGTTGATATTGAATAAAAAAAATGTAATCTCGACTAACTTTTAATTGTAAAAACTCGATTCTACCCATCACTATTTATTTGGGACAAACCTGCAACATTGGAAATGTCATTATACTAACTGGAATTAATAATCGTACTTTAGTCTACACTTCAGTTCTACACCGAAGCGAAGCGAGGGCGGGCCGCTAGTAAAATATATGAAGCTAATGTCAATTTTGACATTTGTTGCACCTATAGCGAAGGTTTTGAACGAAACCCGGTATTTCTTACCTACGCTTCGGGTGCGATTTATACAAATTTTGACAATAAGTCCCGTACATTGTAATGTCAAAATTTTAACAACAGAGTGAAAAGTTGTACGTAGATTGGCTAACGGAACCCTAACCTTGATGAATTTTAGGTAGATGCACTAATCCATTTGCATAAACCGGAAAAATACAAATAAAATATCAATAATAGTAAAAATTATGTCTTTACAAGTATGGATGTTTTTACATCAGTAAAGGTGCTATTCCACGATCTGTGTTGAACGTAACTGTTCTCATACTCATAATTTTGGCAACCTTGCGCGGTGCAGCCTCGCACGCTACAACACATATCGTAGGACACACTTTTTTATTAAAACTTCTGTTCGGGTTGGAACTAATAAATGATAAACTGATACTACAATATCACTATACAAAACTCTATATTTGGAGAAAGGACTAAAAATAACTATCTCTTATCTAATAGACAAGTCCGTCCGTCCGTCCGTGGTGCTGTTTCAGCGACCAAACCGTAAGAGATAGATATAGAGAATGTTTAAGTTATAAATTAAGAATAGTCTGATAAGACTACAAACCGGATGTGAGTAACGTAGCACTTCCGGTTTTCGAGAAATCACGTGATTTCTATTTCAAACGAAACCACACAAAATCTCCGATTTTTTTTTGTTTTTTCTTTTGTTTTTTTTTTTTTTGGTGAACATTTGGTTCACTGGTTTGCTAGTAAAATAATAATTGCTATGAGTACGCGTGACTTGATGAGTTGATGATTGCGAACTGATTTTGTGCAATAAAATTAATTGTGAATACGTAATTTACGTCAACGAAATGTACTGATGTGACGATGTACGCGCTTGCTCGTACAACTTCCTTCAGCCAAATTTTGTTTTTTTTTATATTAAGGCCTTTTCCTTCAGCCAAAATAAATTTGGTCGAAGTAAACCTCCATAATCATCATCATCATCATCAGCCTATTAATGTCCCTACTCCTGGGGCGCAGGCCTTCCCTATGGATGGAATAGGGAGATTGGGACATGACCCACCACGCGGGCCCAGTGCGGATTGGCGGGTGCTAACGACTGCAGATGCAGCCGGGACCAACGGCTTAACGTGCCTTCCGAAGCACAGAGGAACTCGAGATAGATGTTTTTGGTCACCCATCCAATGACCGACCACTGCGAAAGTTGCTTAACTTCAACCATCGCAGCCGAACGCGCTAACCACCTGCGCCATCGAGCTCTTCCCCTTCTCCATAATATTAAGTAAGAAATGTTTAATTTACGTAAATCCTCGATTCCACGAGAGAACATGTCCTTAATTAATTTATTTATTTATTTAATTCTTAATGCACAATTTTACAATGGCGGACTTAATGCCGTAGGCATTCTCTACCAGTCAACCATAGGGTGTTGTGGAGAAGATTAGTGGTAGGGTGCACATGTGAGGTGGAAATCACATTTAAACATAAATATTATAATAATATATAATAATTAAATGACACAGTAATTATATACAATTACATACATATATATATATATATATATATATAAACATACACATACGTAAACATATAATAAAATAACACTACATAAAATTAATACATAATAATGACGACGAACTACTAAACGAAATTGTCTGTTCCAGTAAAAAATGTTGGTTTTAAAGCTATATTTGCTGGTGGACATTCTAATAATCCTTAATCCTTTTATTTAAGTTTTTTCGCGAATTCCTTCTTCGTTTATGTACTTACTTTTACTTTTTCCATGAAAAGTATTCAAAGCATAATAGCCGAAGGCAAGTGTTTCCTCGATTTTCGATTTAGGAATGTTTTGCTTCTGTCGCTATGGTAACAGTTAAATCGTCTGCTATGGTGTTGACAAAAAAGAGTATTTTTACAATCATTCTTTGTAGTAAATAAGGCTTTAAAACTTAGCGTAAAGTAATTTATAAAAAACTTTATTTTTTTTTTGGAAGTTTTCTGGTAATATAACACTCAGGTATTATGCCTAAATCGAAAATAGGTGCAGTATGGGAAGACAGAGAAGTGCTCTTTGATTTACCATTCGAGTGAGTGTTTTGATTTTTTATTATATTCATTACTGTTTTTTCCCCCTGTGTTTGACCAATAGTTATGTATATACATAGCAATAATACTACCAGCCAAGTTTTTTACGGTTAAGCCTAGTGTAACAGTACTTACAAACATGTATCAATAGGGTATTTGACAGTATTAAAAATAAAGTGCCAATTGTTAGCATCTGTATTTAGAATGAATATTGGCAGGGGTTTTTACTATTATTATTTTAAAAGATAATAGTTTTCTTATCTATTGTCACGTGACCCAAAACGCTTGGGATTGGCGGAACCTAAAATGACGTCACACGCAAGTAAACTTCCGGTTAAAGTGACATTACATTGTATCGTTTGACGTTTTAATAACAGTCGTGTGACGTCACACACTAGTAAGACGCCATATTGTCCAGAGAATCGTTTTCGCGGCAACTTGAAAATGGAGTTTTTGACATGGTTATTTTTTCTGAAATACACAACAGAATGATGAATATCCATCCATCAATTTACGGACTCCATAAACATAAGTCAATAACGTGAGATCGTTTTCTAAAACTTGTCAATACCCTATTAATATTAGCTCCACATTAATGATACCGGTAAAAAAAAAAAATGGTTGCCTGTAAAGTCGGTTTTACGGGCGAAGATTTTACGTGACAACGTCTTTTTCTCGGTAGAATATTTATTGATATGAATATAATTAAATTGCACAATAGGAACAAGGAATTGAATGAAAATAAGAATTGCACAAATTTTAACTATAGAAATATATTTTGTTTACTAAAACATTGTACATGTAAACTTAAACTTAACACGAGAGACTCATCGTAACGTTACCGAGCGTTACACTTTTTCATAAGTGACTCCCAGCCGCAACCTAATTTAAGACGTTGTCACGTCAAAAAAAATACCGCTAAAGTAAAACAAAATGTGTTAAGTTTACTCTACCTAATGTGAGACAGCTTAAAACTAGTATAAAAATTGATGACCAGCTTGTAGAGTTAGTGGTTTCTACAAATTTTCTGGGTATTACATTAGACTCTCATCTGCAATGGGATCCTCATATTGATGTATTGAGACTTATCAAGTAGACTGAGTTCTGCGGCAGGCACTGTTAAAAAAATAAGACTCTTAACTGATGTGGAAACGGCAAGATTGGTTTACTTTGGTTACTTTCATAGCGTTATGTCATATGTGCTTTTGTTGTGGAGCTCAGCTGCTAATATCGAAAGTATTTTCATACTGGAAAAGAGAGCTGTTCCGGCCATATCAAAAGAAATTAATATTTAGCTAGCATCGCAATACATTTATGAAAATTAATTATATTTAGGAAAAAACTATGACGCATTTTCAAGAAAAGTCAAACCCATAACTTTTACACGACATTTAAGAACAAGCTTGCCGTTCCATGTTTCTCCAAAAATCAAGAGGTTCACTTCTGGGTTGTAGTATTGCATTGTTTAATAGCTCGAGGAGCTCGATGGCGCAAGTGGTTAGCGCGTTCGGCTGCGATCGTTGAAGTTAAGCAACTTTCGCAGTGGTCGGTCATTGGATGGGTGACCAAAAATTTACTATCTCAAGTTCCTCCGTGCTTCGGAAGGCACGTTAAGCCGCTGGTCCCGGCTGCATCTGCAGTCGTTAGCACCCGCCAATCCGCACTGGGCCCGCGTGGTGGGTCATGGCCCAATCTCCCTATTCAATCCATAGGGAAGGCCTGTGCCCCAGCAGTGGGGACATTAATAGGCTGATGATGATTGTTTAATAAAGTTACGAGCGTCACGATCGTCACATGAGACAATATATACATATTATATGAGTGATGCGTGCGTTGCTCCATTCCCCTATGCCTTATCCACTGCCTAACGTTAGGTTATTTAAGAAAAGGATCAGTCCTGTTTCACTTCAGATGCTGACATCTGAAGAGAAACAGGTCTGATCCTTGCTCCCTTTTTTTTATTGATTGATTTTAAAACAGACATTTGCATCGTGGTTCGTCTATAGGTACTTACGGTTAAGACCGGGTGAGAAGATATTTGACAGGATCGAGCCCATAGAAGACAGTAAAGGCAACAGTGGCATCAAAGGCAGGATGGTGGTCACCAACCTGAGGATCATCTGGCATTCCTTAGCTTCTCCCAGGATCAATCTTTGTAAGTAAACCGATCTTTTTGACGTGACAACGTCTTAAATTAGGTTGCGGCTGGGAGTCACTTATGAAAAAGTGTAACGCTCGGTAACGTTACGATGAGTCTCTCGTGTTAAGTTTAAGTTTACATGTACAATGTTTTAGTAAACAAAATATATTTCTATAGTTAAAATTTGTGCAATTCTTATTTTCATTCAATTCCTTGTTCCTATTGTGCAATTTAATTATATTCATATCAATAAATATTCTACCGAGAAAAAGACGTTGTCACGTAAAATCTTCGCCCGTAAAACCGACTTTACAGGCAACCATTTTTTTATACGAGTATATTGTTTTAAACTTTCATGGTCACTAACATTATAGCAATGTAAGTTATTTACCGTTACCATGTTGGTAGGATGTTTTTAGCGAGTTTAGGAGCGTTCAAGTATTACGTAATGCAATTTGGGGGGGAGGGGTTGGTCTTGTAAAACGTTACGATGCGTTACAGGGGCGGGAGGGGGTTCGGTCAACGCGATACGTAACATTGTTTTTTTTTTAAATTGCCCCACACGGTTAACGCCAGTGGCCGCGACACGTTTCCTGGTGAGTCCATATTAAATGTATGAAAACTACAGGAAATATGCGTGGTGGCGGCGTTTTGTGGTTGTGGCCGGTGGCCCGTGTGCGGCGACACTTACAGTATCGGATCGCGACACGACACTTTTTTGATTATTTCCGGTTTTACACATACGAACCACCGATCTTTTTTATGTTTAAAAGATAACAAAGAATCACCGGGCCGCTTAAGAGGAGGGGGGGGGGGGGGGGGAGGCGGGTAATGTTTTTCCATACAAACGCTCTCGACTGATTCCTCTTTGATTTTTTAAACTAAACAATTGATTTTCATACATAAAATACAATTGGACTCATTCTATGCTCCCTATACATAAACTTTAGAAAATGAACACAAAACTTAATATTTTGTGAATATTTCAAGCGTCTACTTGTGACCATTATAAAAATCGAGTTTTTTATGTCTTCCTTCTTTCGATAACTTATGTTTCAAAGAAACTGGAAGCCCTGAAAAATGACAAAAATAAACTATTTTTAATTAGATTTAATTAGAAATTCAATAAGCATTTACAAAAAAACAAAGCATAGAGGCAGTATAATTTGTTATAAAAAAATAAGGGTAAAATAAATTGTACATAAATATCTAATTTTCGAGGAGGAAATCGTCGACAGCCGATCCTCTAATTATGCAATTTTTATACGCAATTTTCAGCGTTAACTACTGTTGTCCCTATCGCACGGTATTTGCCAATACGTGACAGCAATAATCATAATCAATCATAATCATAATCAAAATTACTTATTCAATTGAGGCTGTTACAAGCACTCATGAATATCTAGAAGCTATGCCATCGGTTCGTAAATCTACGGCGGGAGATAATAGTTTTTTCAAATATCTATTTCTCAAAAGTCTGTCAGCTCGCGTCCGCTCTTAATAGCCTACCATAGCCTACCACAGGAGCTTGCGAGACCATGAAATGAACATCATCATCAACACCATCATGAACTCGCAAAACATATACCCCGACCCAAATCCCGACCCAGTGGTGTCTTGGAAACCTTAAAGCCTGCTAAAGTGTAAAAAGTGGCAAAGAATCATTTGGTTTGCCTGATGTTGTGTGTGTACTCGCTCCTACATCTCTCGCTACCAAATTACGGACCTGTAAAACGGATTGCTATGTTTCCGCGCCTTTACCGATGAATGTCGTAAAGTTGGACGAGACACAACGAAGGCCACAATACATCGAAAATTGCTTTTAAGATTACCTACACTCTCAGATCTGGGGTGCTGTTGAACTGAGAACTGAATTTTCAACTTTTTTGAAGTGAAAACTTCTTTAGTGGCGTTGTACACTTTTTTTGTATGGGTAAAAAATCTTAAGCTCGCGTCAGGTTAAACACGTGGGCTGATCGCATCATGACACACAATAAAATTGGAAAGGTTGTTGACTTTCAATATATTGGACGAAACATAGTAATTTTGTTGTATTATAATAATAAGTCTCTATCTAAGACGTCCACGTGGCAGCTTTATTGCGAAGAAAATGCATTTTTTTTACAATAGATGTCGCTTAAACGTGATTCATGTAAGTTGATTTTTCTGAGAGATAAACTTTTTTAATGTAATATAAATTGTCATGTTTGTGTACGATAGCGCAATAAATAAATATTGTATTCTACCACATACATGATAGTAATTTTATACTGATAATTAAAGCAATTCGTGCAAAATTATTCCCTAACCATTCCAAAATATCAAAAATGCACAACGTTAATATTCAAGTTTTCACTTCTGCCGGCACTCCCAGAGTGCAACCCATCGTTTTTTTTTCTGTGTTTCGTTTTTTAGTTCCGAACTTCTGGACAATTCATGAATAAAGGTGATTCATTTTAACAGACGCGCCCTGTCGTGTTTGTGCCTCATTCATATAGTGCTTTCAATTTATAATGACACATAGAGACACAGTTAATGTCATACTTGTTTAGAATTTGTCAAAATCGCGTGACCTCATTAATTGGACGCAATAAACTACACGTCCATGGAACCCCCATGGTGTAGTACATAGATATAGGATGTAGTATGAATAATTACACATCATCTTAACACGAACGAGGATGGCGCGGGTGGTTAACGCGTTCGGCTTCGATCGTTGAAGTTAAGCAGCTTTCGCAGTGGTCGGTCATTGGATGTGTGACCAAAAATCTTCTATCTCGAGTTCCTCCGTGCTTCGGAAGGCACGATAAGCGATAAGATCTGCAGTCGTTAGCACCAGTGGCGGCGCTAGACCACATGTGGACGTCGGCGACATCAAGTTCGCGAGGCCTATTTTACTTCGCAGTAAAAAACCGTTAAATTAAGTGAGCCAAATTATAAAATAACGTATGAGTAAACGCGTTTCATTGTTGATAATCAAATGATGACAAAAAATAATTACAAACATAGAAATTTAATAACAAAAATAGTGTTGCCAGACAGACGATTCTTAATACCCGTAAAGTACTACTTGCTTCCATCACGCACGTGTTCGAAAATAATAAAAGTCATTATCATCTGCTTAGCTTTTTCCCCGAATGTTCGGGGTGTCGGCGGTGGCCGACGTCGCCGACGCCTAGCGCCGCCACTGGTTAGCACCCGCCAATCCGCACTGGGCCCGCGTGGTGTGTCATGGCCGTCTATTCCATCCATAGGGAAGGCCTGTGCCCTGCAGTGGGGACATTAATAGGCTGATGATGATGATGATGATGATCTCAACGCAAAGTAAAAAGAACGGTCTAACATGCATGAATAAAGCCGTGTAGTGTGAGCAGTTTGTACGCCGGGTTTCATGGTGTCGCCGACTCGAGAGGTCCCGGGTTCGAATCCCGGTGGAGGCAGAGGTTAGTCCGATAAATACGAGCATTTGTACTCCAGTCATGGATGTTTAATATGTATTTCTATATAAATATACTTATATATGTACAGTATATGTATTCTATCCGTTACCCTAGTATCCCATAACACAAGCCTTACAGTGCTTTTTGGGGCTAGGCTAATTGGTGTGTGTTAAAAAAGGCCTTTTTTACTTAATAGTCCGCCTGATTGTAAGCGACCGTCATAGTCTATAGAAGAACAGATGCTTGCGATACCTTCTCAAATAATCACTTGCACCGTTAGCTACCCCATTTGAGGCCCCTATCCCGTGGAACCCTGGAACCTTACCCGCTAACAGACGCAACATCAGAAAATAGTTGTTTTCAAATTCAAATATGTATGTACCTATTTCAATGTTTTGAAAAGCTCGCAAATTTAATACGTAAAATGCTCAAGTTCCTCATAGACAGACATAAGACATTTGTCTATTAGACAAATGTACCTACCTTAATTAAAATTAAATACAAATCATGCAAATGCAGGGGTCTAGGCTCCGAATATGAACTTGTCCCATTCGCTGTCGAGACCCTTGGTCCGTGGGGTCCTAGCGCTATAAAGTTTTTTAAAGGAAATATCAAAAAGGTTAGTCGACATCACTGGAGACCGAAGAGCTGGCAGCTACCTCGGACAAAGAATTAATTTAGCTATTCAAAGTGGGAACGCTGCCAGTATCTTCGAAACCTTGCCTAAAGGGGGAGTAATATAATAGTAATATATTTAAGTTATTATATTATATTTTTTAAGGTTTTTTTAGTTCAAATCAAATTGTAGCTTCTCTTTATGATGAATATATACACTAATTAAATTAAAATTAAAAATGTCTAAAGATTGGATGCCTACAGAAGAACCTCCACCAAAATGTCAATTAAAGCGTATGCCTAAACTTCTTATATCATATTTGTTTCTTAGGCTTTCACACTCATTAAATAAAACAGGCTACGTCGTCAGAAAGTTTGATTCTGACGACGTAACCTGTAAAGGCTACGAAACGTCAATAAATAAATAAAGTTTCGTGCATTAACCTAGTGAAAACTAGTTTTATTCTTATATCATCTTTCCTTAGCCATAGGTCTCAACTGCATCCTATCAACCAGCACGAAAGTGGTGAGTTCTGGACTGCGCGGAAGCACGCAGGCTCTGTACGCGCTCGCATCTTACAAGTCCAATCGCTACGAATTCATATTCACAAACCTGTCGCCGAGTTGCGTACGTCATTACACCACCGTCGTCGGCGCCCACAAGTGAGTAGCGTGCAGTCGGAAAAGGGTCTTTCTTGTATTATATTGACGACATTGTATTGACGACCTCTGTGGTCGAGTGGTTTGTACGCCGGGTTTCATGGTGTCGCCGACTCGAGAGGTCCCGGGTTCGAATCCCGGTGGGGGCAGATGTTTGTGTGATGAATACGAGCATTTGTACTCCAGTCATGGATGTTTCATATGTATTTCTAAATAAAAATATACTTATATATGTACAGTATATGTATTCTATCCGTTACCCTAGTATCCCATAAGACAAGCCTTACAGTGCTTACTTTGGGGCTAGGCTAATTGGTGTGAGTGTTGGATATATTTATTATTATTTATTATTATTATTATCATTTCTTAGCCATAGGTCTGAACTGCGTGCTACAGAATTACTTGCACCATTATGTCCCTTGACCACATCACCTTTTTTGGTGTCGGGAAAATGCATTGCGCTTCCTTCGCCAATTGGGGAAGATAGATAAATAAAACTTTATTCGCACCAACATACAAAACACATACAAAATTCAAGACAAATTTTATAATGATATAAATCCTTTTAAACATGCAACAAATTATATTTATACACTATGTACTATGTATAATACTATGACATTTTCGTATGCAGCAGCGATACGAATGGGCGAAAACTCAGCGTAACATTTACTCTCTATTACATTACTCTAATGTATCTGCCAAATTCGCCAAATTCGTATGGGTCAGAACTGAAAATCAGATATATTTGGCTTCCCAAACGAATGTATCTGCGGACTCCTCCTTACTCATTTCATCCAACCTCAGGGCAGAGCCCTACCCAGTATAAGTCGCGGCACGAAACTCTAGCGCTGATCGTTATTGCACAGAAGTAAAAACTAAGATGTCTTGGGGGGACACGAGGTGCGCGGGTGGAATGCGTTGCGCCGATTGGCTCTCCAGTCGTACCCATGCGCAGCTATCCCCTCCGCGTTTTGTTCAGCGCTAGAGTTACCTAGCGCTGAACAAAACGCGCGCGCAACCTGTAACAACCTAAAAAGTACTCCTGCACCGGTCACCGGACACGCATTTTGGGGACCGAAGTCCCCACAATGCGCGCCGGGTGTGCGGGTGTAGTTGCGGCAACCGATTTCCAACTGGCCGCACACCCGCAAGGTGATTGTCCGCGAACGGACCCACCCCCATGAAGATGCCCCGGAGTATCAGGGGCATCAGCATCAAGAGAGCTTGTGCAATGCGGCCCAGTCCCATCCCATCCCAGAGAGCGTAGTTCTCTCCGTCCCTCTCCCGCCCCCCTTGGCCTTTGAGAATCTACCGCCAATCGCAATGATCAGAGTCACTGTGGGGTGAAAGATCTCTCTTTTACATCATTTTTGAGCCATTGGTCTGAACTGCGGACTCAAGAATCACTTATATATTACCACACCTTATATATTACCGCACCGTTATATATTACCACGCCTTAACCGCAACCCCCAGCCACTGAACAAGTAATCACGCCCCCAGCACTGGACTAGTTTTACTTACCGACACCAATGAAACACCACCGAAAGTTATGAAAAGTTGCTAATTCACTGCCGCAATTACATTAATTGCCCGTATTCGGGTGCACGAATTAAATTATTCGAATTCGGGCATTAGAAGCAATATTTACTTATAATATTTTTTATTTTATTTTATTAAAATATATATTTTAATACGGGCTGGAGATGGTGTCAGGTAAACTCAGGTAAACATAAACAAAAGGAAATCTACCCGAATACTCGTTCAAGATACTTCTGACGGCGAGCGACAAATCCGCTATGCCTCGCCTCCTCCATTATCCAAGACCCCTGAAAAGAGAACGATGCAGTTGCCTAAAGCATGTCACGGTAACCTCCTTTTAGGTATAAAGAGAAAGGAAATTATCTACAACATACTTATGTCTAGACTCCAGACCTCCCAAATATACAGAAAATATCTCATAAAAAACGCTGAAGTCCTTCCAGAGGAGTTCGATAACAAAAACTGTGATACGAGATTTTTATACATATAGAAGATAAATAATCTATGTCAATCTTTATATTCTAATGTCTATATATATTTATAAAGATATAGACTAACTACTCATCTATCAGGTAAAATACAACATATAAATAAAGACGGGTTTGATCTTTTACATGAATTTCAAAGAATTTTTGCCTAAAAGCGGGACTACTTACCGAATTCTTCGAATAAACATACTTAATAACGGAGTGTAAGACTTCAAAGATGCATAAATACATATCTTACCACTGTCCAGATAAGCTTTAATAACTTGCTGTAGAATTACACTACCTTCGTAGGCGTCGTATAAGGTTAGATAAACACCGTTTGGTACTCAGCCGAAAATAGTTTGAGCTCAAATGGAATTCAATATACAGGGCGTCCCACGGCTACCTCACACGGAGGGAAAGTATATTAAATATTGAAGATAGGATATTTTTCTGAAAGAAGACATCATTTTATTTTTAATAATAAGTAGAACTGCATTCAAAGATTTTTTTGAAATCGCCTGCTACAACTGGGAATCAAACAACATATTTTCTGGAACACATAAATTTTCAAGCTGTCTGTTCTTTTGTTTTTGGTGAGTTTCATTTTCATTTATTTGCATTTTTTTTGTTAATTTACTTACCATTGCGTATCAAAATAAAATGGATATACTGGAGGCTTACTTTATGAACCACAATACATATTAGCTTTGCGGTGGTACCTGATAGAGACGTACCATCTCGATATTTGTTGAAAAGGTTAGTAGATACTTTAAGAAAGTTAGGACGTTTTGGTATGCGCTTACAGAAACCACAGCAGCGGATGATAAACGTCTTCGATGATGAACTCGACATTTTAACTTACTTTTAGGCGTATCCGATTTAATATTAGATTGTGTAAAATAATCTATATTACTTATAATAAATCTGTAGAGAGGTCAATTCTGTACATGAAATATATTTTCAAAATAACTATCAGGGGGTGATTAGTGATCGATACTGATGCCAAAAATGCAATCAGTAAATTTTTTGTCTGTCTGTCTGTCTGTCTGTCCGTGTGTATGTTCCTTATAGAAACAAAAACTACTCAACGGATTTTAACGAAACTTGGTACAATTATTCTTCATACTCCTGGGCAGGTTATAGTATACTTTTCATCACGCTACAATCAATAGGAGCTGAGTAGTGAAGGGAAATGTTGGGAAAACGGGAGAAGTTACTCCATTTTTTAAGCTTCTGTCGCGTGTGCAGCCTTAATGGTTAAAGTTACATAGAAATCATGTATGACGAAAATATTCTACATAAAATTGTCTAAAAAATATCCCGCAACAGCATATGTCTATCTTTTATGGTTGACTCACAATAACACGTGTAATTATATAAATAAAGTCATTGTTTATAGCACAAGCCTGAGAACAAAAACTATAGTTTACACTACAGCTCTATACCGAAGCGAAGCGAGGGCGGGCCTCTAGTTGTAAATAAAATGTTAAATTCAATTACTTTTCTTTCATTTAAAATGCTATGTTATTAAGCAAAAAATAATCCTCATGATTAACCCTTTCGACGGTTATCATAAAATATGTTGTTTTTTTTTCGAAATTTCACGAGTTTGATTCCCAGTTGTAACAGGCGATTAAAAAAAAACAGTGAATGCAGTTCTAGTTATTATTAAAAATAAAATGATGTCTTCTTTCAGTAAAATTTCCTATCTTCAATATTTAATATACTTTCCCTCCGTGTGAGGTAGCCGTGGGACGCCCTGTAGACTTACCTCGGATTCTTGTGTTAAAGCGAATATAGCTCCAGAAGTGATAGAGACTGATATTTTTTTTTTTTTTTTTTTTTTTTTATAGATAGGTCCGACAAATGAGTCCACCCCACCTGATGTTAAGTGAAGGTGAAGTCCAGACGTGACGATAGCTGATACAGCAGTTTTACCTGCCACACCAGCCATCCTCACCCTGCCGGCCTGCATGTTGCTTCTTCACGCCTCTTTTAAAGGATCCCAGGTTGTAAGAGGGAGGGAACACGTGAGCGGGCAGAGCATTCCATTTACGGATAGTGCGACAAAGAAATGAGTCACCAAATTTCTTTGTACGCGTTGGAATTGTGGCCACAGTTAGACGATGACAACGTAGGCCAGCGCGCGTGGTCCTCTGAAGGAAAGGAGAAGGTGGGATAAGAGAGAATAACTCCTCAGAACACTCGCCGTGGTACAGACGATAGAACGCGCTTAGTGACGCCACGTCACGGCGTAATTGAAGAGGCTCAAGGTGTTTAGTCACCTCCTCATCGCCTATGATGCGGATCGCTCGTCGCTGTAACCTATCCAAAGCATCGAGCAAGTACTTGGCGGAGCCATCCCAGAGGTGCGAGCAATATTCCACGCAGGACCGCACTTGCGTTTTGTACAACAGGCACAGTTGATCGGGCGTGAAAAAACGCCGCACCTTGTTCAGGACTCCGAGTTTGCGTGAAGCTGTTTTGATCACGGTTTCGATGTAGTTCTTTGGATTCAGGTCTGAGCGAACTTCCATACCGAGCATGGAAATGTTGCTCTGCAGCGGTAGTGTTGTGCCCTGAAGAGATGGAAGGGGAAGGAATGACGATGTTTTTGCCGTGAAAGCGCAAGCCAGAGTTTTTTTGGCATTGAACTCAACCAAGTTCCTGGTACCCCATTCGGAAATGTGGTCCAAAGCCTGATTGAGTTCAATGACAAGATTCTCGCGTTTCTCTTTGGTTACCGCCAGCCCAGCCGCTGCTTGTCCGAGATACCCCGCATGCACTGTACTATCGTCTGCATAGCAATGAATATTCCCAAGAGGAATTAAGTCATTGATATGCAGCAGAAAGAGAGTGGGGGATAGGACGGAGCCCTGGGGAACGCCGGCATTCACTGACATGAACCGCGAACTGCTACCATCCGTAAGGACACGAATTCTACGCTCATGCAGGAAGTCAGCTACCCAAGAACAGAACTGGGCTGGC